AGTACTTGACTTCTTCCCCCGGGGGTCTTCTCCAACCCCTTCCTATACCGGATAGAGTATGGGAGGACATATCAATGGACTTCATCATTGGTTTACCCCGATCCAAGGGGTATGAGGCAGTATTTGTAGTGGTGGATCGTTTGTCTAAGTATAGCCACTTTATCCCGTTGAAGCATCCATACATAGCGCGGTCGTTAGCTGAAATTTTCACCAAGGAAGTGGTACGTTTACATGGAGTGCCAAGCTCAATTGTGAGTGATCGTGATCCGATATTTATGAGCAACTTTTGGAAGGAATTCTTTCGTTTGCAAGGGACTAAGCTTCAAATGAGCACCGCGTATCATCCAGAAACGGATGGCCAAACGGAGGTCATTAATAGGTGCTTGGAAACGTATCTTCATTGCTTTATAGCGGAACAACCAAAGGGGTGGGTGAATTGGCTGTCCTGGGCTGAATATTGGTTCAACACAACATTCAATGGGTCAATTAAAATGACAAAAATGACCCCTTTTGAAGCTGTTTATGGGCGCAAACCACCTACTCTCATTCATAGCATTAAGGGAGAGATTTGTGTTGAGGCGGTGCAAAGAGATTTGAAAGATCGAGATGAAGCATTGAAGCAATTAAAGACTCATTTAGTCAGAGCCCAAAACAGGATGAAGGCAATTGCTGATGGCAAAAGAATTGAGAGGAGCTTTGCTGTTGGGGAGTGGGTATTTTTGAAGCTTCGCCCACATCAACAACAGTCGGTAATGACGCGCATTAATCAGAAACTGGCTGCTCGTTTCTATGGCCCGTTCAAAATTCTGGAGTGTGTAGGGGCTGTGGCCTATCGTCTGAAGCTACCTGAAAATGCGAAGATACATCCGGTGTTTCATGTGTCTTTACTGAAGAAGGCCATTGGTAGTTATTAAGCACAACCAGAATTACCTGCAGATTTGGCAGCTGATGGGTCTGCACCATTAGAATCGGAATGTCATTTAGCTTCAAGGAAGGTTGTGAAGCACGGGGAACAGATTGTGCAGTGCCTAATACAGTGGAAGGGAAAATCAAGCGAGGAGGCCACTTGGGAAGATGAATCTCAGATCCGTAGTCAATTTCCTGAATTCTGTCTTGAGGACAAGACATTTTTTGAGGAAGGTGGAATTGTTAGAGACCAACGTGCATTTGGCCTAATGAGTTGCTAGTGCAAGATAGTGGACCTGGCCCAAAACAATGGGTAGTTTATGTGAGAAAGAAAAAGAGAGGCACGGGATATGTGGGTGGAAAAGAGGGTGAGCTGGCTAGTTAGTTATGCCAAAAGAGAGAGAATCGTTTGTTATATGGGGGAATGATTTGTTTAGAGGGGGTATCTTTTGCAGTTAGCCAATTTGTAAGAATGGAGAGCCTCTAAGGTTCTTCAACGGAGCCAGGCTCTGAGGGTAGGGAGAGAGTCTCTCCTTGCATTTCTTCTTGTTTCAGTAATTAAATACAATCTTCCAATATTTTTCTTCTTTCATTTGCTGCTGCTGTTCTGTGTTTTCTATTCTGATTTTTAACAGCTCATGAACCATGGGCGGAAAAGAATGAAAGAGGTTTCCAATTTTTTGATGTCTAATATGTCGTTGAGTATATGACAAGAATATTAAAAGTTATGGTCGGAAAAATCGGAATATGGGGGCAAATGGGGCTTTACCTTCTGAAGCAAGAGTGGTGTAAATGGCTGCAAATGGACATGACATTGGCTGTGAACTTCAGTGTGATGAAACATGCTCCACAAACACAACCTGAAATTCATAGCAGCCTGGAGCTTTGTTGTGCTGTTGTACTGCTATAGCATGCAGTGAATAACTTTGATTAAGTTACTTAGGTAATGGTTAATTTCTGGATGGTTAATTGATTGCCTGTGCCTGCAATATCCAACAGTGACTATGCTTCAACAACCATCTAACAGAAACAAAATGGCCATAATAAATTCAATTGTACAAAGCCAATTGTTGCTACTGAACCACATGGCATGACTGCGCATGTGAATGATGATATGTCCAAATAAGAATATAAATGTCCACATCAAGATATTTGTTTGCTTATATTTATTACTTTGTAGGTGTATGTTTGGTTTGGCTTTTTTTAAAGAAATAATCACTAAGTTTTTCCAGGTTTTAGAGAAGGCTTTTGAAAATAATTGATTATTTCCTCAGAAATAATCTCAATGTGCTAGGTCTTACTGCCTTTACAAACCACCCTTAAGTAAAGATTGATCACACTATTGAATTTCACTTTTATTTTGCAATTTATTTTTTCTTTTTTATAATTGAGTCTCTGGTTATTGAATTGCATGATTTCACCTTTTTAAATTCTCAATAAATTCAGGAAGTGTAAAATAACTATGATAAACAGTTGTTTCATCTGCTGATTGAAAATGGATTGCTTGAAGGTTGATTTATGGTTTATTTTTTATTTTGATCCATCCATTTGCCACCCTTAATCTCAAGTTAACCCTTGTGCATTAAGCTTTATCCTTCTTTTGCTTGTCCTCCTCATTGCCTGATATCTTCTGTATCTGTACTGTAGCTCTGCCTCCAACTTCAGCCATGGCATGTTATCTCCTGTGAAAATCCAAGGTTGTCATCTCTGATGCAATTTCCTTGTTCTTATCCAAGGTTATCAAATCAGGATTCAGATTGTGAATTGGAAGGCCTATTTTCTGAATTGCAATCGTAAGATTCATGATCAATAATAAAAATTAGCATATATAGCTAACGAAGCAAAGCCATAAAAATACATATTCATGCTCAATAACTAAAGAACAAAAATTATATATATAAATATATGTATATGTATATGTGTAGTCGATAGAAGCAAGGGACCCCTAAACAACAATAGTGGGAGACAATGAGTAGAAGCAGCAATAAAATAGTCATAGTAGTCAATAGCAGCCGCTATCGCAAAAGAGCAGAGCGGCAAGTCACCGCTATGAGGAGCTTGTAGCATTGCGTTTCAGTGGAGCGGCCATTGTGCCGCAAATAGCGGCCAAATTGCAGGAGAATCATAGCTATAGTTGCTGCTATTTCATCCCTGGCCAAAACCCAACTTTGCCCTCCTTTTCTTAACGTTGGACAACTTTAAATGGGGTAATCTTGGGATTTCCCCCCTTTTCCATTTCTGATATCTTCTTCCTCATGAGCCCTAAGTTTTCATTTTCATCTCTCAGTTCTTGCTGGTTCGTTCTTTCCCATCTTTGTTCTTTGCAACATTCTCTTGCTTCCAGTGTCCTTCATCTCCTGCGAGGCTTCTGACGTGACAGAGTCGTTCTTTGATGATATTATTCATTTCCGGCGAAGCTTCCGACGTGATCCAGACATTTCCGATCGTCTTCGTCTCTCATGAAACTTCCGACCCTGCACATTTTCCCGTGACTAACCAATTCTCCGTTTTCTTATTTCATTATTCATTTTTTATTTCCTTCTCTGTTTTTTTATTTCTTTCTCTGTATTTATTTTCCTGCTCTGTTTTGGATATTAATTTTATATTAGGCATAATACTTAGAGCTTAGAATAGTGATCATCCCGCTATCCGCCGTGCCGCCATAGCCTTTTTAGGGTCAGCCGCTCCGCGCTGCTATCCGGGATTGATTACTATGAAAATAATGCGCTGGAACATAGATGAGGAAATAACATATCTGATTAGCTCATTGCTGTTGGAAGAGGCAGAGAAGAGAAAACAAAAGGGGCTTCTTTCTCTCCATTATGCTTGGACAGAATCGCACGATTCAGTCACAGAACTACGATTCATGTTGTGATTCAGGAACAAAAATGATACTGCATGATTCATATTGCTGCTGCTCTGTTATTGTATTGGATGAAGATCTAAATCAGATGGAAGATGATAATTATGATCAAAATGTGAATGATTTGTTAGTGTAGAGAATAGAGGTGTTGGTTGTAATGTTTGGGATTTGCTTTTCCTAATTTGAGTTTTTTGTGTTGGTGACTTGAGAAACTTAATAGGCTTCTATATTTGGAGTTAAGTTGTGACTTATACAATTGTAACTGTTGTGAATTTAAGGTTGTTTTGCCTTATTTATCACATGTGCTCAAATCTAATTTTGTATTTTGGGTAGGATCTTATGATCTATGTTACTGCTCCACAATTTAAGTGTTTCCCTTCCCTTTGTAATCTTGATTTACACTACCTTGCTATGGAATTTAAAGAAGAGTACTCCCAATCATTCTCGTGTGTTCCTTCAACAGCATAGATGAGAATGGTCAGACAGCATTGATAATCACTTAGTTGCTGTCATCAAAGTTGGCCTTGTAGCTTATCAGGATCTTATGTTGGAAATTATGTAGGTCAAGTTATACACACTATTGAGCTTGGGGACTTTTAGGAGCGCATTAAATTGGAAGGAATTGCCCATTATGTGGAAGCCCCAATAATGCAAGAGAAGTGTTTGCAGTTGTTGTATCCAACCTTGAGGACAATGCTGAATGTTAAGGGGGTGGACATTGTTTGGAGTTGGGAAAGAAGGGAAGGGAAAATTTGCAAGGGACAGGTAGGTTAGATAGTTAGAAGGGATCAATTAGATTTATATTGGGAATAAGGGGGAAGAAGGCATGGAGAGAATTAGAAATTTTGTAAGAAAGTGGAAACCATTTGTGAAGAGGAAGCTGTTGTAGAATTCTTTCTCCTTGTTCAGTTCAATTTCATTCAATCAAAAAAATCATCTTTCTTTTCTTTATTTCCATTGTTGATTCCTAACACCAACTACCACCCAATGTAACCTGCATATTGCCCCATTTGTTCTCTATTTGGACAGTACAAAATCGTGAATTGGTTATCTGCAGGTGACAAAACTGTCTTGTATAGCTTGCAAATAGCTTAGTTCGTCTACAGCCCTAAATGTATTTGATTTTATATGGTGGAAATTATTTTCTATGCAGTATATGGTTATTTAATACTCTTTTGTGACCTTTGGGTTGATTTGGATATTGATATTTGCTAATATTGGAAAATTTCAGATACAGCCTGGTGTGGAGAATTTTCCTCAGTATGGACCTGGACCTGGTGCTTGGGGTGCATATGACATGCAGCGAGCTCAAGGACACAGATAGATTTCTTCTATCCTGTTAGGCAAACTTATAACTGGTACCTTGGGTTTTAGAGTTATCTACTCATGAACATCATGGGAAATTATCAATTAGATGATCCTTGAAGTTGTACTTGTATTAAAAAGCTCTTACTAGGCTGATGATGCAGTAGATGTTGCTTGTCTGTGGTGTCAATTAAAGGACATTTTGCTTTATATATCTTTTTGGTTATGGTGTGGCACTCATACTAATCTTGTTCTTTATGTCTTTAGCTTGAATTTTCGTTTATTCATTCCTATCTCTCATGGTTAATTGAAGGTTGCTTATTATCAAAATTGTGCAACTATAGTTCGTATGTAACTATTAGCTTCTTGTTAACCATCATTTTCCTTAGGGAAACAGGGAAAAGCAAAGTTGTTTTTTGTAACCCTTTTTTGCCTGTGGTAGGCTTTCTAGGAAGTGTTTGAATTTGCTCAAGGTATACACAATCTCTGTTGGAGCTGTTGGTAAAAAAGCTTAAAATAGTTAGATTTTATATAAGTATCAGTTTCTTGATTAACAAACACCTCCCCTGAAGAAAACTAGGAAAAGAAAAATTGTTCTTCTATTCCTCCTTCAATGTAATAGGCTTTGTGGGAAGCAGTGTGAAATTACTCAATGTATAATCTCTGTTGAACCTTATGTTAGTAAAGAAACTGAAAATATTTGCAAGACTGTGCTGTACCTTCATATACAAAAGAAGATTCTATCATGTACACACTGACTCTTTATGGCTATACATTACAAATTTGAGTCTAAGAAATACTTCTTTGACAATTGTTTTAGCATTTTGAGAAGGGTTTTATGCTAAGCTGTGTTTCTTTCATTTTTGTCCTGTATTTTAGGTCCCCCTCCTTTCCCCCCTTTCCCTCCTGACCCAAAACTCCAACAAAAAATATCAAATAAGATTTGAGGAGCACTAGTCTGTTGTTCTACAGGATGATTTGTATAACCCTATTACAGTTTCAGTTTTTCTTATGACTTTTTAATGCATTATGGAATACATGTTTGATTACAGGATTAGTATTAATTATTCTATCCTCTTATTGCCTCCAAGTAAACATGCTACCCTTTCCTTACCATTCATTCATGACGTCATTGGCGGAGTAAAGGTTTCTTCTTTTTATATCTGAAAAGCAGATTTTAACTGCAATATATCAAAACAATAATTTAAAAGAGAAGTCTATGTATTGAATGACATACTAGTTTCCTATTGTCTCAGTTCTGTAGTGGCAATGCCAAACAAACAAAATACATTGTCACCATTTTTGTTGAACATTTTGTTAAGAATTCCAGTTATATAATTACATAGTGGATTGAGAAGATTGAGAGACTCCCCATGGTCTGCTTTAGGGGAGAATAATAGAAAATTCCACGATTGAGACACTTAAAAACTGAAATCCCATTTGATGCTTCTTGAATTGGTTGCTTTTTGTCTTCTAAAAGGATAGGAGAGTTTGGAATTTTATCCTTGTGGTTTAGTTGTAAATCTTGCTTTCAGTCAAGGTAGTCAAAATCAAGATCATACCTGGGATTGGAAAGGTTAGGGAAACGCGTAAATATAACATGGATCGTAAGATCCCACCTAAAATGCAAAATGATATTTAAATTCATATATTTGCAAAAATTAATAAAAAATAAGTTAAAATGACCTTAAATTACTAACAGCCACAAACTTATGTCACAACAATTCTGAATTCAGAACCCCCATCTGCAGCATCATCCTAGCTGCTTCCAACTCTGGCAGCACTTGAACTCCCGTTACCCTCCCTAACAGCTCCTTTCCCACTTAAAAGACATTTATACATATAAATAGATTAGGAGTGTAACCTAGCAGAGATCAGAAACTTGAATTCAGGTTCCCATATAGTGTAGCAACTGAACCAAAGCAAGGAGTAGTTGAACCCACAAGAAAACGAATCAAGTGTTCGACACAAGCAAAAGAACTGAAGTGAGTAGTGCCAAACCCAGAAGTAGAAAAACCGACAAGGGGATTGGAACTTTTGTGTGCATTAGAGCAAATAAGAAGGAAGAGAAGTGTCAAAATGAACGAGTTGAAGTCTTTTAATCTAATCGGTCAACTAAAATGGGTAAATTTGTTGGTCTTTTTCAAAAGAAACAGGTTCAAGTAGGATTGGAGAAATCGTTCTATCCTACAATCTTACAAGTAAGATTTACGATCCTAGCAAAATGAGTTATAGTGTGATAGGATCGTTGAGACATGAGAAAATTGTAAAATTGTACCATCTTACGAGTAAAATTGCGACTTTAACTACCATGCTTCCAGTTTTGTCACTTGTTCTCCAAACCTAAACAAATTCCTTATTGAGAAACTTTAGAAAGCTAAGGTGCCCTCCAAGGGGAACTTCCTTATTTGGGCAGTGATAAATTATACGAATACTCGTGATATCTTGTAGATTTGACCTGAAATGCTTTATCTCCAATTTTGGTGATATTATGTTCTGATTTAGAAACAGTTGCACATTTATTTCTACATTTCCCAAGCATCAATTGTAGACCTAAGAAGTCTTTATCTCCTTCTGGTTAAGTTCTGAGAATTTGCAGGGAGCAAAGACATGAAATTTTTATGGCAGTTTGCTTGGTTTTCTGGTTAGAAAGGAATGGTCAGATTTTGACCTTTTTCCTTTGGTGTGCTTCAGTACATGGTTGCTTTTTCTATCTCTATTACTGGGCTCATGATTTTCTTGTTGGAGTCTGTTTGGTAGATTTATATAGGAACTGGAGAGCATTTTTGGACTACAATTTTGTTATCTTTCTGTTGATTATTGGTTTCATTGTTTGTTTGTCAATGGAGGATTCCTTATGCTCCATTGCTTCTATTTTTTCACTGTTGGAAAAAATGCTCAGTCAGTGGTTGCAGGGGTGTGTTGTGTCTTAAGTGTCAGAAAACATTCTTTTGATTTGTAAATGGCATTGACATTTCCATGTGGAGATTTCTTCCATACAATATAACAGAGAGAAGGGAGTATAAACCAGTGTTGTTAAATGGTGGCCATGGCGGAATTCGGTGGCAGTTTTTAACCCTGCCGTTACAATGTTACCGTTTTCTGGCGGTTTTCCATGGCGGCGCCATGGCGGAAAATGTAGAAAAATGGTGTTTTTGCGGCAAAAATTGAGTTGGGCCACTGACTTGACCTGCTCCAAAAAGAAAATCTGTGAGCCCAAACCCTAAATCACATATTTTCTTCCTTTCTTCATCTCTTTTGTGCCACTGGTGTGGCGGTGGGCTATTGTGCCGCTGTGGAGTGGCGATCGGCCACGTGATGCTTGCTATGAAGTATTTCTTTATTTGTAGAGGTTAAGCCCTAATTGTAGTGTCTTGGTGTGGGTGTGCACTTTTGAAGTGTAATGGAGAGAGAGCGAAAGGTCCGATCTTGCCCTTGCTATATGTATTTTAGGGTTTTTTTTAAGGGCAAAATAGACTTTTTCCACTTAAATTTTTTTCCTTCTCTTCGTGAGCGGTTGATTTTCTGAAGGGTAAAATTTTTAGGGTTCTCTCTTTTCTGTTTTTCTTCTTTCTTCTCTAAAGCCAACTTCTCCTTCATCTCCTTCATCATTTATGTCGGAGAAGACATCCTTTCTGGCTGTTTTCCGGCAACTGTGAGTGGAAGGCCCCGTTTTTGACATCCATTTTCCATTTTGCTTCTCTAGGCTCAGTCCCTCTTAGTTTTTCCCTCTCCTATTCTTTTTGTTTTTTCAATTCTGTTTTCCCCTCTCCTATTCTATTTGTTTTTTCAATTCTGCTTTTCCCTCTCCCATTCTGTTTTACTCCTCCATATTTTTTGTTTTTCCTTATTATTTTGTTTTCTTGATTCTCTACTTTTCTGTTATAACTTCAGCTTTTTTTCACTATTGTACAACCATTTTATTCTTTTTTTCTCAAAACCTTCCTTCTTTTATATGTAGTTAGTTTCTAGTTTTATATCAGATTTTGCAATATATATATATATATATATATATATATATATATATATATACTTATTTATTATGATTGCCATTATTCTGCCATAACCCGTCATGGTATCTGCCATAATTTTATGGCAGTTTTTTTGCTTTCCGCCATGACCCGCCATAACATTGGTATAAACATTGAAATCAGGGAAATGGCAATCAGGTCATTATTGCACTTTTTTGGGTCCTTGGAAATTCATTTCTGCATTTAGTCCATTGACTACCTTAAAAGTAAATAACAATGATTTTAATAATAGATTTTGGGAGGATATATGGGTAATGGATATTTCTTTTTCAGAGCCATTTACTCTTATGTTTCATTTTTTCCCATCATTCTATTCTAAATTTTTATAATGATCAGTTATTTCTTTGAACTCCCATTTCCTAGAGACCTGAGTGACAAAATTCTAAATTTGAGTTCCTTTCATTCTTGTTTGTTTTTGCTCTTACATCATCTGATTTCCATAGGAGATTTGGACTTTAAATTGTTTTGACATGTTATTGTGCATATCTTTCCTCGAGTTGCTCATCCATTATGCAACCTAGTTAATTCCCTCTTAAAATCCACGTTGACATTCAAAACACCTGTTAATGTTGAGTCCTGTATCTGGACAACAGCAGTTAGAAATGATTAGTCGCTAATATGTGCTGCAGATTTGTAATATATGTGCTACTTTATGTTGCAATTAGATACAGAGGCACAATATTTTCTAAATCTGTTAATTGAAACAATTCCCTCTTTAGCTACATTTGTAGAATTTGATGAACCTTCCGTGTGTTCTAAAAACTTGGAGCAATTTCTAGTTATGCGGATTTGAGGGTTTCAGTCACAGGCTTCACAAGTCATGCTATGGGAGAATATTGTTTCCTTGGCCTATTTGTTGTTGTCAAGACATGGTTTATTCCCATGGGGATCCTTGGGGGTGTGTGGCTTGCACAGGATTGGAGTGATCTCTATATATTTTGTTAGTTGTTTTGCTCTGTTGCTGTTGGTTGTTAGTTGTTTTTCTCTGAGGAGGATTTCTTTTACTCTTTATTTAGAGGCATCTTCTTTGAATTCTTGCATTGTTTAGCAAGGATGGCCGTTTTGGTCAGTGTCAATTGCTTTGCCAAGGAAATGAAATATCTTTCTTTCATCCGGTATCATCATCAGATTGACTTTCCTGAAGTACTATAAAGTAGATTATCCACAACACATGTTATTGATATGAAATTGTAGTTTTATTGTGTTCCTCTTCTCTCTCCAATAAAACTATTTTTCTATTGAAAAAAATGTCTTTCCCCCTTTTTTTTTGGTCTTTTGCTTGTTTACACCCACAGATTATACTGTACAGCAGTTCTGCAGTGATTTAGGTCTAGATAATAGATATACTAGCCCACAAGACAGTGGCAAAACAATAGAAAGAAGGTTTCCATTTAGTCAAGCATTAGTTGTAAACTATAATTCGTCTTTTCTCCTTCACAAGTTTGGTGAATGAGGTTGCATTCAAGGAAAGATGCTCTGTTTTGGGAACTTTTCTATTCCTTTTCTGAAGCAGCCAAGCATATTTTTTAGCTTGATGTATTTTGCTGGCATATATTCAACACTGGAGCAGAAGGATGGGATTCTTAGTCGAGTAAGTTATGCAGCTTTCTGAATAGTAAATTCTTTTTATTTTCCTTTTCCTTAACCCATGGTGTGTAGCCTTGAATGTAGGAATTGCCAGTTTTGGCCATCCAAACCTTGGTTATGCTAATGTTTCTCCGTAGTAGATTTTGTCTACTCTGGCGATTGAATAGTTTATGCCCATTTAAGCTTCTCTACTATGTTAGAACTTAGACCTAAATTTCTGCTTGGATTGGGCAATCTGGTTTTCTATTTGTGTAGATGGCGGATCCACTCTTTTGTTGTGTCATGCTTTATGTATGTTTATTGAGTTTATTTTTCTTTTTGTCTAGTAATTGGTTTCACCCTCAATTGTTTAATATCTGAGCAATATTGTTCTTATCATTCGCAAATGTGTGAACTAGAAACTGAAAGTAAGTTGTGATGAAGTTTGGGTATGAGGTTTTAATCATAACAAAAAATATTGTGCATTTAAGACTATAAAATTGGATAAATTTACTAAGAGTGGGGGGATATATTGTTTCTCTAAAGCTGAGATTTCAATTGTGTTAAGTTTGGATTGGTTGATAATAAGCTATATAGTCCATTTCATAGTGATTTGATCGTTTAGAGGTGAACTGTTTTTACTTAAATTGTGCACGTTTTAGATTTTTCCATCAAGGATTCTTAATTTTCTTTTGAAGAATTCAGTAGGTGTTAGTGTTACCATTAGGTTCAAAAGCATGATAAGCTGTCTTAGTACAAATAAATGCTGCATAACATCTTATTATAAATTACCTTATTGTCAGTTTTAGCAGTTTATGCTATGGATAAGCTTTCCTTGCTATGTTATCTGCATAATTCTGTATAATCCAAATTCCAAAGAGTTAGTTAGTTGGTTCTTTTCAGTATTGCTCCTTGAATATATTTTTAAAATTTGTGGTCGAATTTGATGTGGCTTTCTGGTTACTTTGTAATGTATGATGAACAGATATATCTGGTCTGTTTTAGATTTTGGTATGACTGATTTTAAAAGAATTGATGCTGAAAGAATTGCATTTTAAGGAATTAAGGTTACCCATGGTTCACTTTTTAAAGCCAATTTGTTCACCAAGAGTGTGTGTTAGGGTTAAACAAACAAGCTGATGGTAGTTTAACTATGGTGGTGAGCTTCTTCCTTCTTAAAATTCATTGCATTTTACTTTTGCTGATCCTCAAAGTTAGAATCAATGGTGTTAGATTGATAATGTAATAATATTTGGATTTTTATTATGTTACCTTGGTGAGTTATTTAACTGGGCTTGTACTAGGGAAAATATGTAAACGAGAAAATAGAATATTTTTGGGATTTTATTATGTTACCTTGGAGTGATATTGAACTGGACTTGTAGTAGTCATACTGCCTAGATTCTGAGTATAAATCAGAGTATGAAGTCTGTATTTTATATTGCTACC